CACACACACACACACACACACACACACACACACACACACACACACAGAACTTCATGTGAGACCAACAGCTGAGCTAGGATGAGGTTTCTACAAGTCAAGGAACCTGGAAGATTACAAACCCACCGGAAGCTAGAGGAGGAGCATGGGGCAGTCCATCAGAGGCCCTGGAAAGACCCTGCATGACATACACCATGGTTTTAGATTCCTGGCCTATGGGACTGAGAGAAGACATTTCTGCTATTTGATGTCCTCCTCCCCACCCCCCGTGCCCCCAATCTGTGGTCCTTGGGTATATTTCTTCACCAGCTATGTCTACTATTGAGGAACTCTTCAACTTCCCCCATGGCATGAACCGTGGAGTCCCTTAGAGAGATACTTAAACCCGTCTCTTTGCACAGATGAAGTCAGTTAGCTCCCAGGAGGTACATGGCTATGACAGCTCCTCATGGAGTCCTGGAGTCCATGGAACAGCTGATGTCTCCCCACGTTCCACCGTGTGTGTGTGTGTGTGTGTGTGTGTGTGTGTGTGCATGTGTGTGTGTGTGTGTGTGCGTGTGCATGTGTGTGTGTGTGTGTGCATGTGCATGTGTGTGTGTGTGATCCAAAATCTTCCTTTGCCTTCACAGAGGGGCTGCGTGAGCTAACACAGTCATCCAGGGCCTCTAGTAGGGTCTCTCTTCACACACTTCTGGGGCTCAAGTCTGAGTTAAGTGTGGCCGCACAGTGGGGGTGTGCTGAGGGTCTCTTCCTTAGCTTTTAGATGGCTGCTCTGTCACTGTGTCTTCACGTGGCAGAGAGATCTCTCTTCCTTTGCTCATATGGCCATCCGTTCTATTGGAGTGGGGCTCCATTCTTGTGACCTCACTTGAACCCCTAAAAGCTCCATCTTCTGCTACCATTATCTTGGAGGTTAGAGTTTCAACATATGAATGGAATGGAGACACGATTCAGTCTACAGCAGTGCCAGCTGCCAAGGTCAGAGGAGTGTCTTAAATGTACCCAGCATGGCCTCAAGTGGGCAAGAGACGCACCCGCCTCCATGGCACCGAGGAATGCAGCTGTCACACGGGCTCTGGAGGACACTTGAGCCATAATCTGGTCATTGTAGCAGCCAGCCTTGGGTACAGACTGGATGGTACAGAGGCCTGTAGGCAGCCATTGGGATGGAGAAGGGCAAGCCAGGGCACTGGGAGAAAAGGGACGCCTGAGGGGAGTCCCACTGTCGGCCTGTGCAGGCTGCTTCTGGGGTGTGCCTTAATTTAGACATCTTGAAACAGGTGGAGGAGGCAGCTGGACCTGCCTCCAAGGATCCTCACGAGCAAGGATGAGAGGGTGGGTTCCCTATCCACGGGGCTATTGCTGGCAGCAAACAGCTCCCCATCTTCCAAGAAGCAATTCAAAGACTGTTTCCTTGGAGCAATCTTTGCAGGCTCTGGGGTCTGCCTACATTCCCATCTTCCAGGACTCTTGTATCAGAGCATAAGATAGGCCACAGAACAACCATAAGGTGGGATTGGGGACCAGTGAGGCCAGACAGAGTTCAGACACTCACATTCACACTCTGTTACCTCTTTCCTCAGCAAACTGGGGGGCCTTATTCCATGCTGCCTTTGTGGTTTATAGGAAATCATTAATAAGATTGTGGTAGTGGGGAGATCAGGGCCGGCAGAAACCAGAGTTCCCAGAACACTGTCCCTTTAAGCTCCTCCTTCTAAACAAAGGGTACTCTGGTCAAAAATATTTTGCAAAGATCTCATAAGATATTGCCTTTTTAGGAGATCTTAAATGCATATTGAGACTATTAAATGCTCTCTGAAGGCCTGCAGCAGAGACACATGTATATTTTGAAACCAATATTTCTCAGCCCTACCTGCCCACGGAATTTTGCTTTTCATGTCACAACAGTTACTGTGTTAGACATGAAAGAACTCTGTCAGTGTCATGCAGGGGACAGTAGGTCATTGGATGTAGGTGGCCAGGATCCGGCCAGTAGAAGTGTGTTCCTGACAAGCGGGGTCTTTCTCTGCTTAGCCCCAGCCAGCCTCTGAGGGGCCAAGCATGGAACAGCAGCCCCTGCTCCCTCTACAGTAATACCTTGGATCCTGGAGTTCCTGGCTCACCCTGTGGAGGAAAGAAAGGAGACTCAGATGAGGAGAGAGACAGATCTACGAGCCGGGCCCTCTGTGATGTGGCTGTGGTTGGTCCACGCCTTCCTCTGCTCAGCGGAAATCACAGGGCAAAGGTGGCTGCCCCTCAGAAGCACCTATTCCCCTTGGTGGGGGTGCAGGAACCAGTCGAGCACCCCCTGGACGAAGGAGGGGGAAGCAGGTGCCCCTTGGAAGCAGACCCACCACAAAGATCAGCACTGAGCACTTGCTTTGCCAGGAGTCCCCAGTCTGCTTGGTTAGGGTGGGGGTTCAGTGGAAAGATGGCTGCCCTCCTCCCTGGAGCTTTGGACCAGTGGCTGCCAGCTCCTGGAGGAAGCTAGGAAAATGCAGGCTTTCCTTGGTAGTAAGCTAGTTGGGCTTTTTCTGAGGCAGATAAACCTTTGTTGCTTATTTCCAAGACGTAAAGCATCTGTCTCAAGTTGCACATCTGGCACGCGTGTTGCCTTTGGAACATTTCCTCCTCCTCTGCTTTTCCTTTGCCCAGCAGCCACCCCACAGAGCCTCTGTTGCTCCACCCCTCCCTGCCAGCTTGGGGTCTCCCGGTTCTTAGTCGGCCCCTACTGTGTGACATCACACCATCCACGAACCTTCATCCCAGCCACAGCGATCCCAGGCGCCCCCTGGTGGACAAAGAAAGAAGCATGAAGGCTTTTGGCATGGGGTGGGCAGTGGAGGGGAGGGATGTGCATGTGTGAAGGCTGGTCCTGTTGGCTGGGAGGCAGCAGAAGTTGGAGGGAAGAGTGGAGGCCCTGAGAATGGCAATGCAAGAGTGCATCTGAGGACCAGGTGCGAGTCTCCCAGTTGCTAGATTTCCAGGCTCCACTTGGAGACCCAGAGGGGCTCGCAGGCCCATAGATGGGTTAAGAAAGGACAACCCTGGGACGGAGGGAGCTTCACTGGGACACAAGATCAGGAGGAAGAGACTGGGGAGTAGAATTCAGAGTCCTAAGGAGGGGGGTCCTCCCCAGGAGACAATGGGAAAGGGCTCGTTTGATCAAGTACAGTGACCTTGAGTGTGTAAGTGAGGTTACCTCTCCTGTTGTTCTAGATCTCTGCCATTATGGGTTGAGTGTTTGGGGAGAGAACCCCATTTTTCTATCAGCCCCAAACCACCTACTTTGAGGTGACTATGTTGCCTAAAGTATCACTTAGTAAATCCCAGCTGGAGGTGACTTTGAAGGGTCTCTACTCCCTATTTGGGTCTCAGACTATAGCCAGAGCTGTTATCTGAGGCTTTTAATGACCCAGAGGCCCCAGGATGAGGTCTGTCCACATTGGAGGCTCCTGAGGAAACATGGCTCAAGGGCCACATATGAGAGCCCTGCTCTGACTCGGCCTGGAAAGACAGGCTAGTATGGGATTGGGGGTGGGGTAAGGGAAGAAGAGTGGGAGAGGGATGGTCCTGGGGAGGAATTAGGAGGGGGGGTTGTGTGGGATGTGGAAGGGGAAGGTACCTTGGCTCCATGTTTGCCTGGCATCCCTGGCATGCCCCGCTCCCCCTGGAGAAGAAAAACATAAGAAATGATGAGACTCGGGTCTGTGGCTTGTACAGATGTCAAGCGAGAGCTCCTGGTCTGGAAGCTTGGGTGGGTGTTCTGTGTGTTGTGAGCTCTGATCACCCTGTCAAGGCATCAGCCATGTGGGTCACTCCATTTATTTATGTCACATGAATCTGCAGAAAGACCCAAGTCACAGATCCAGAGATGGAGAGAAAGAGAGAGGGGTAGGGCAGACAGACAGACAGACAGAGAGACAGAGACCCAACCAATGGAAATTGATCTAGCCAGGGAGGTAATTTTCTTAAGATCTACCACGACTTGGTGGCCAGTCTGGGTCTGGAGCTTGGTTCTATGAAGCAGGACACCATAGGAACAGTCATGGGGCTGCATTCCCCTCCATCCCTGATCAGGACATTGCGGCCTTGCTTTACTCTATTAGTTTTAGTAGCTGGACCAGACTTGTGTCTGGGCTAGCCAGGACTCCCCTCTCTTCATCTGAGACTGCTTTTCCTCCCAACCCCCACTGGGTCTAACTTCTAAGGACCTATGACCTTGGGTCCATGGCTGCCCATGAGTTTTACTCTGGCTTCTCATCACTGTCCTTCTTTACCTTGAAGATAAGACCCTTGGTCTTCCAATAACAATGCCAGATCTACAGGAGGGAGGTGAGACCAGGAGGAAGGACATACACGGAGATGGACAAGACAGTATCGGGAGCCAGGAGCAGATGAGTCAAGACTGTAACAAGCCAGATGAAGGGAGGGTGGAGAGCGGCTGCTCTCCACACTGAACCCTGCATGGTGCGAGTCTGAAGCTGCAGTGGGGCTCTGCCCAGTGGCAGGTGGCAGCTGCCAGCCTTCGGCAGCTTCCTCCATCTGAAGACTGTTTCTACAGATGTGAAGTACACAGACCTGACAGACTCTGTTCTTGATGAGGTGAGGCCTGCCGGCCAGGCTGCATCTCCATCAGCTTAAAGGCACAGGAGGCCTCAGCTTCCCTACCCTGCCATCTTACAGAAGGTCTGGCCAAAGTCATACAATTTCTATCATCTTCCTCCGTGCTGGATCTTCCCCATCACATGGGCTGAATTATGAGGCTCCTATTTCTACAGTACTTATTGCAGAAAAAGGGACTGGGATCCTGGACCTGGAAATCTGATGCCTGCCTCTTTCCTGTTCTCACCACCTGGATCCAGATGTACCACCCACTTTCATGACTCCATGCTTTCTGCCAGTTCAACTCAGAGCCCTTTTTAATATCTAGGCTCTGGTTCAATGTCATCCTTCTATGAGATCCTTTGATGTCCCCATGACCCAGTGCTGGGTCCTCAACTGTGGGGACCATTTTGTCCTATAATCTGCACATACAGCTTCACATCTGCCTGCCATAGACACTGAATCACCTTCATCCTCCTTGAGCTAAGTTTCTGAACTCTGCAGAAGGCCAGAATCTTTAGCTTCAGATACCCACAGTCTCCTTTCCCTCGGGCCCACCAGTGAACTGCAAATAGGCAAAAGTAACCACAATGAACAGGTGCCCAGGTCTGCCCAGGCTCTTAAGTTATCTCAGTGGCAAGACTTCTTGTTGTCCTGCATCTGGTGCTTCCAGCTTTGCATGCCACGTATCCCTTCTAGCTGGGAGTAGATGCTCTTCCTGTCTCTCAGGAAACAAACAGTGGCAGAGGATGACTGTCGAGGATGTGCAGAGTAGGTCTTGGGATATAATTATGATATTTGCCAAAATCCAGTAACTCATTTCTCTTGGCTGCTCCAAATCAGATATATCAGATATCCTGATTTTCCATCCACCTCCATCAGACTGATTGTGCAGGCTGAAGTAGAGAGGAGCCCCCTCTCCACTGGGGCCTAAACTCTGTGAAGGGTTCTTGTATAAGGGCAGGCCAGGCTCGGGGCTCCAGATCATGCACTGATCTGCTCTGTGGCCAGCAGAGGGCACAACAGGATCTTCTCATATGAAGTCTACCAGTGCAGCTGAAGTATCACCAAAGCCTCTTAAAGGAAGGAGTGACAACTAAGGGTCCCCCATTGTCATGCTTTCCTTTGGAAGATGCGTCTCCTGCAACTCTTCCATCTGGCCCCACTAGGATGACTCAGCTGGGAGTTTTCCAGCAAGAGTCCCCTGGTGAAAGGTAGGGAGGAGGTCTGTTTTGGGGACTTCAGTTTGACCTCTTACTCCCTCTCCTTCCCCTGCATCCCTTTCCCTAGATCTCTGGCGGGGAGCTGGGCTAGGGGTCTGTATGACCATTCTTAAGCCACTTTCTCTTTCTGGGGCTGGGTTCCTTGGCGTAGTGAGATTAAATACACCTGATCCTCCATCCTTCATCCAGCCCTGGCCTTGCTCCCCACATGGCCCTCAGACCTAAATCTGAAGAGGTGACACTGGTCTATTGACAGCTCTAGAAAAGGCTCTGTTGGGGTGGGTGTCTAGGAGGGGGGGTCTCAGCGGGACTCTACCTTCCCATCCTGACAACAGAGGAAAGCTTCAGGAAGCTTCAGCAGGGGAGAAGCCCAGCAGCTAACGATGGGAATTGAGTGGTATTCTGATGAAACTGCAGAGCAAAGCTCTGTCATTAGGGTCTTTTGGCTAATTGGAGTTGTCTTCAGCTCACCTTGGTTTGAGAGTGTAGAGATACAACTTGCACTCAAGGGAAACAAGGCTCTGGGACAGGGGCAGCCCTCCTTGTTAGGGATGCTGACCTCCGCCCTTTCCATCCCCTCTGGGTCAATCCCTTAGTTTTGCACATGACCCTGCCTCCCCTGATGCCTATCTCAGGGCCCCTCTCCCTCTCATCCCTGTACAGGGCCGGAAGCAGGGGCGCCTGGCTGATCTCACCCCACAGCTCACTCTATTCTCATTAGTTTCACTGCTCCGGGCTCCAATCTGCAAGCTTGCCCTGCCTGACCTTTAGCCCAGAGAGGCTGGTTTCTCTTAGATACAGAATCTTGCTTCCTGGACTATGGGTGAGGTGAGAGGGTCTGTGGACATGCTCCAGGATGCTGGGCTCTGTGGCTATGACCTGTTTGTAGAAGACAGGGATGGCCCCAGGATGCCACTGATGGAGGAAGACAGTGGCACCCTTCCTTCTGTTCCTGGAGCCATGCCTTGTGGCATATCTTTGTGATTTATAGAGTGTTCTTTTCTACTATCCTTCTTAAGTTTTTGTTTCTAAGACATAGGTTAGGAATCGTGCTTCCTTTAGACTCACTGGCTTGTTTTCAGAGATCCATCTAGTTCTTACAGTCTGACCAGGTCTCTGGCCCTGATTTCTCTCTACCTTTCACATCCCTAGTCCTCTCAGTGGGGACCTGAGAGGCATCCAGAGGCCTAGGGACCCTGAGCACTCATCTGCTCCATTTTGCACTGAGGGATGGCCCAGGTGGCTAGCCATCCCTGTGGAGGCTGGCCCTCATCTCTAAGACGAGGAACAAGGCCCAGAAGAGGTGGTGAGCTGCTAAGGAGGAGGCTAAGGAGAAGGGGGTTGGAGCACAGGTGAGGAGCCAGGGCTTGCCTTGAAGGCCCTTGAAAATCTATCCCAAGCTGTGACTTAGGAGCCCCCAGGATCCCGTACCTGGGCAATCACCGCAGCAATATGGCATCAATAGATCTCTATTCTGCACAGCTTCCAGGTGGGAAGACCATCCTTTACAGAGATGACAGCATGGAGCCCAACTCGGTGCTCTGGCCCCGTGGGAGTGGCCTCTTAATTGGAGATTTACTGTTTGTTAAACAAGCTGGACAGGGAGTTGGCAAGAAGATAGTCTAGAGGGAGATGAGGGCTTCAGGGCAGATCCCCAGCCAAACAAAGGTCAGGCAGGGCTGGGGAGATGAATGGATCCCCCTAACTGCAGGCTGTCTGGGTGGGGAGGGCCCTGGGCAGGAGGCCATGCACACAGAGTCTTTGTTCTCTGCGGGGAGGCGGAAGGCCAGTCTTGAGGGTGGGGAAAGGAAGGCAGGGCCAGGGCACAGACCTAGATCAGGACCCTTGCCTAGCTGGAGAAGTTGGGCCGGGGTGGGGATGGGCAAGTACTCATGCCTTTCTGTCAATTAAGAGTTCCCAGGACACCACCCTTCCAGGAAAATGCCCATTCAGTTCCTGCTTCCCTACCAAGCTTCCTGTTCTCAGAGTGAGGACGGGAACCACGGAAATCCCAGGTCCACCGGTAATTAGGGCAGGCAGGAAGTGATTCAGGGAATTACCGGGGTCGGGCTGCCCCATTGAAGGCCGGGGCTTTGGAAGGGCTTGCTGGTTTGTAATCTCAATTGGAGATCGGTTGATTCTGTAGTTAGTTCCAAAAGGAAAAGTCAGCTCTAATTAATCTGAGGCCTTTGGAGGGCCAAAGAAGCAGGGCTCCGAGAGCATGGGGTGGGGGCTAGCGTCCTGTCAGCCCTCTTGAGGCCTCAGATCTGGGGCCTGTGCTTTAATTTAAATGGTCTGCATGTCCCTGCTGGGATTTCCTGGCTTGGACAGCAAACACTGTCTTCCCTACCCCCCACCTTCCTATCTGCCAGGCTCCTCTCTGGACCCAGTCCTGGCTTCCTACTGGGATCCTGGGGTCACTCAGGCTCTCTGGGGGTGTTAGGAATGGTTCAGTAATTGCAGTGGAGGTTGAAACCAACTGCCTGGCAATGTTGGAAGCCAGGGACCAGCCCAGTTCCTTGGGGGAATCATTTCACAAAGCCAGTGGCCACGGGCAAAGCATTCTGCTTTCCCAGTCCTTCCACAAAACCAGCGCCGTGTCCCCTCCTGCCTTCTGCCTTAGGCCCTCAGGATTAGGTCTACAAGAGAGCTGAGAGACTCTGGGCAAGTCTGGGCCTGCCCACAACCTTTTCCTCACAAGGACAACAGCTCAACTCCTACCTGCTTCCTTCTAGGGCAGGAGAGGGGCAGTCTGGCTGCAAACCACGTGACTCTTGGACCCATAAGACACAGGAAGGGAAGTCATTCTTAGCAGGGCTTTGGGGTCTAAAAGACCCACTGTGGACTGAAAGAAGCCTTCGTAACTCTTTGCTTAGCTATAACTTGGGATAAGAGTAAACCCTGCTAACTATGGCTGCGTCAGGAGGGGACAGTTTATGCCTGGGAGAGCCAGGTACCCAGCCTGGATGTGGAAGAGGCTTAGCAAATAAAATGAAGTCTTCCACATATGTAGGTCTCACTCTACCAGTGTATCCTTAGGCAAAGGATTGAGGAGCGGCTCAATGAGTCTCCTTCATTGGGTGACTCTCTCTGTGGAGACTGTCCTGGAGGACTAAGGATAGTTACAACATTGGGTATGAGGCTCTTGTTCCCTTCATCTCTTCTTCTTTTCCTCCTCCTCCTCCTCTTCCTCCTCCTCCTCCTCCTCTTCCTCCAACTTCTCCTCCTCCCCTGGTTTGATACTAGAATCCTCAGCCTGCAGGAGCCCATGTGCATAGACCACAGCAGTGTGTGTTTCTTACCAACATGGCTGTCAGACACAGCCCACCAGGACACAAGCAGTGATGCACTTAGAGATAAGCTCCTGTCCGGTTTTGTGACCCACACCAGGCTGACAATACTCATCAATCCTCTTGAAAGAGAGCCAAACTCATAATGTTTTAAACACACTTTGCATCTTGCAACATATTTAAAGTAGATCCATGTCATAAATTTGGATCGAATAAGTACCACATGGGCCCACAACAATACTTGCAGTGTCTTGGCAGGAGGCTGGTCCCAAGCAGGCAGGGAGCAGGGGTGAGGGGTGGGGGTGGGGGTGGGCTATATGAGGTAGCTGGCCATACTGGGCTTTGATCTCTAGGAGCTGGTAGAGCAGCCAGCCTGGCTGGCCTTTGAGATGAAGCCAGGCCCAGTCCAGCTGGCAGGGAATTCAGTGGACGGAACTAATCATTAGCAAACTGCACAGACTGAGGAGTTAAATTCTATCCCATGCTGCAAGAGAAGCTCTCTGCACGTGCATCAAGTCTTGGGGACAGCAAATAAAGCCCATCTGGAGGGGCCATCTGCTACAGGGTCCCCTTCACACTCTGACCACAAGGGGCAGCCACGTGGCCTCTGGCTCAGCTCAGAATTTCTGCCCATTGGTGGTCACTTCTTGGAGTGGGGGAAAATTCATCTCAACATCTGTGTCCAAACCCAGTACAAGTTAGTATCTCATCTCTGTGTCTTATTCCAGACAGAGGAAGAGGAGGAGGGAGAGATGGAGGAGGAGAAGAAGGAAGAGGAGAAGGAAGATGGGAAGGAGGGATGGAGGAGGAGAGAGAGAGAGAGAGGGAGGGTAAATACAGAAGGATAGTCTAAGATGGTACCATGTGACATAACTTCTAATACTAGCCTTGTTCAACAGCTGTCAACCTTGGCGAAGTATTGACCCCTCTAAGCTTCTCATCTGTCCAATGGGGAGCTCTGACCACTGGCCAGAGTGAGAACAGAATGAGACAGGAAAGATAAAGGCATGAAGTGCGGCTGCCCTGGTCTTTGAGCATCTAAGGCAAACAATGGGTCCACATCAGAATTGTGAGAAGCTGAGTTCTGCCGGGGCCTGGGGTCCAAGACCCCCATGGAGCTGGGGCAATGGGACAGCCGCTGGTATTCTACTGCTCACCATCAGTTCTCAGTGGACTAGGAGGCCTCGGGGAGCTGTGAGGGGATAGGGGTTTCAGCAGAGATTAGGGTGCTGCAGGTGCTAACACCACCTGCAGGCCCAGTGGCTGGTGTAGGAGTGGAGTGGGGGAGCAGAAGAACCTTCCAGAGACCCAGAGAGGCAGTGCCAGAGGAGCTGGACCTCTCTTTATAGTTGGGATCATAGTTGTGCATCACCATACTCCGCTTGCTGGTTGAGATGAAATCTTGTTAACTTTTGCCCAGTTTAGCCTCAAACTACAATCTCTTCCATCTCTGCCATCTGAATAGCTATGGTATGTCTCCAGCCATGATGGGGGCATATAGGTGTGCTCCGCCATGCCCAACCTTGCAGCTAGAAGCTTTCCTTAACATGTGTAGTTGCCCCTGGCCACTACTTGAGCACACCTGAGAAGGAATGCCTTCCCTCCCTCCTTCCCTCTCCTCCCCTGTACCCCCTACCTCTCTTCCCTTCCTCCCTCCTTCCTTCTTTCCGGCCCCTGACATTAAGGTCTTCGCAATGGAGTTGGGTCATAGGAAAGCAGTGTGCTCCCTTCCAGACTCTTGCCCCCCTCTACCCCCAGAGAACCTCCCAGCTTCCTGGGCCAGGGAGCTGCTTCCCCGCCCCCATTCCCCCCAGGCTGAATTATTTCTGCTACAATCTGCATTTGGGCTGGTGCATCATGGGCCCAGGTCATCTAACAACAGGTCACCCTAGCCCTGGGCTGAGGCTGTTCCGCCTGCAGGACAACCAACCTCCAGGCTCCTCTGTGGAGCAAGCAGACTTCTGTTTGTTGCAGATCTGACGCCCATCAGGATACAGTGCCAGCCAAGGGCTCCGCCGTGTCCCCTAGGGACCCTCTTGCTGCCTCTTCATAACCACAAAGAACCCGTGCAGCAGTTAATGGGAAAACTGACCCTGGGCTGCGCCAAGAGGCAGTAAATTGTGTGAGTCTGCCTGAGTGGATGGAGACAACCCCGGGGGCTATAATTTCCACTTCCTGACACAACACAAACTTCTCAGTTTATGCAGAACTAATTAAAGATCTCTCAGGTCTCACCAGTTCACCCATAAAACAATGTAATGATGGCAGCCTCCTGATTGCGGCGTGCAAGGAATGCACTGTTTGTACCAAGTGAGCCTTTTACTCCCCTTCCAGTGCCTTCCCTTGCTGGGGGAGGATGGGGTAGGGTCCTCACAGTCCTGGTGCCAGAGGAAGGACACAGGCCTGACTTGTTCTGCTCCTTTGAGCTAAGAGGCTTACATATGGCTCACTTTCTTTGTTTTCAAAGCAGAAGCAAGGCAGGGTGGCTTAGGATGAGAGTTAATGCAGGTCGTGTTAGATGATGGAACATGTTTCATGACAGGATCTCAGTAAATAGTGTCTATTATTAAAATTATTAGGCTGTTGCCAGGAGCTGGTGGCTCACACTTATAATCCTAACTACTCTCAGGAGGCTGAGATCTGAGGATAGCCATTTGAGGCCAGCTAGGGCAGAAAAGTCACAATTAACCACACAAAAAAGCTACAAGTGGAGGTATGGCTCGAGTGGTAGGGTGCCAGCCTTGAGTAAAAAAGCTAAGAGACAGTCTCCAGGCCCTGAGTTTAAGCCTCAGTACTGACTCACGCACAAAACATTATTATACTGCTATAATTATTGCAATAGTGCTTCTGGGCTTTTGCTCAAATGGTTTCCCTGTCTAAAATACCACTTCCCCTTCAGAGTTGCTAGTGAAAGGTCACAGTGGTATGTTACAAATGGCAACAAATTATTTTCTCCCTCTGATCAGGCTGTGAAGACCACATCTCTTCCCACTGGTTTATGTGGCAGTTATGACTTGGGGCATTAGAAAACATGGTACAGGCAGATGCTGAGAATGCGCTTTTCCTCTGGAACCTGTCAGTTTTGAAGGCTGCTCTGAATCTGCCCTCTGGAGGATGTAGAGAACAGAAGTCCCCAGCCTCCCCTCCTACCAGACATGTGAATAAGGTCAACTTGCTCCACCCAACCCTTCAAGCTATCATCTGATAAGTGATTGCAGGGAAAGACCCCAGGTGAGGAAGCTGACACTAGGCCACCAATCCAGAGACATGAGAAATCGTTGTCTGGGATAACTTGTTACACAGCATTTAATAGCTGATACATCCACCCATGTGTTAGGATTGAGCTCTGGTTGTCTTTCTTTCTCCCAGCTGACTTCCCTATTCCTCCCACCTGGGGGGGGGTCCCTCTCTCCATCAATCTCATCCTCACAGGATGCTTTGCAGTGGTAGTATTTAACATGATCCACCTCCACCACGGCTCTTTGTGCAGGTGTGTGTCATCATCTTGCACGGGAACTGTCTTGAGACCGGACTGAACAAATTCACACCCCCTTCCCCCGAGCTCCACATGCAGCTCCATCCAGCAGCCTTCACAAATATGGCTTCCACTTATGAGACCCTCAGAGGCCAGTGAGGACCTGACTACCTCAGTCTAGATACAGCCAACCAGGATGGCAAGAGAGGCCCTCCTAGGCCTGACGTCCAAATGGACCCCTGACCTGCACAAGGCCCTGTCCCTCTGGTCCCCCTGTTTTCCCAAGTGGAGTCACCAAGCCCTGTTCAGCCAGCCGTGTGGGTATTATGAATCACACTAGGTGGTGCGTGCGCAAATGAATCCTGTGTAGGACACAATCCTGAGGGCACAATGTGCGTGGTAGTGAGGCCCCATTGGAGGTCTCCTTAAAGAGGCAGGCTTATCCCCTCCCCTTTCCTTCTTACCTTGCGGCCATGGTAGCCTTGGATCCCTGGGTCTCCCTAGGGGAAGAACAGGAAGGTCATTTAGATGGTTTTCTAAGATCAAACCGGGTGCTTCTCCCTACACACTGTCCTCCTTCTTCTCTCCACAACTCCAGACCCTCCTGAGTCTTCAACTCCCCCTCCAGTCACCCTTAGGGCCACAGACATTGCTCTGCAGCTGAGTATAGCTGAGGAGGGCTGGGAAGGCTCAGCTTGGCGGGTCCCAGGACACCAGACTGTTTGGGTTCTACCAACAACTCTCTGTTGAACCTGGTCCAGCCCCCTTTCCTCAGGACTCTCTGCTTGAATGTTTATGAAAAAGGTAGAGCAAAAATCAGTGCATGGTACTGTCTGATTCCCAGAGCCTGGGGCCTCTGGCTTCAAAATGACAATTTTCTTGTCATTGGGGACTTTTGGGGCAAGGTTACACAGGATACTGGATGACCCTGGCAGTCTCAATTTATGGGACTATGCATTTGCCAGGAAGGGTGCTGGAGTGAGCCTGGATGGGTGAGTTGGGACTAAAGCAGTCTCTAAGGGGGCCAAAGGGGCTTTGGAGATGAGTCATCGTTCTGCTTCAAATGCTTCCTTAGTCATCTACAGAGCTCCCCTTATTTTCCCTTATTTCCCTCTAGCCTGTAGGAAGCCCACCCTCCCCCCCCCCACCTCTGCGCCATTAAACATATCAGCAGGTGTTCTTTCTTACCTTCTGTCCAGGAGGCCCAGGTAAGCCCTGTGGGAGCAAGAAGAAGCTGACATTACCTGTGCTAGAATAGCTCCAGAGTATCTGAAGGGATATCTGAAGCCTGGGGAGGGCACATGGGGACAGTCTCTTTGGAGCCATGTGGGCACCGTGGGCAACAGTGTTGTGCTTGCCCAGTGGAAAATGGGTCAGCGGCATCAGGCTGACTTGATGAAGTGGTTTGTTAAGGTCTTCACCCACCCATCCGCCTCCTCAGCCACCCCTCCCTGCTCAATGAGGCCTTGCTTTTGCCCTTGGCACTGCCCACCTATAGAGAGACCCAGTGTCTCCCACCCTCCAGGGCACTGACCACAGCAGCTGGGCAGTGAGGTGGGGTGTGCCCAGGGCCCTGCGGAAGCCCTAGGGAAAGGCGAGGGGTGGCTGGCAGAATGTAGCCTTGGGCGGAAGTCTGGGCAGCATATGTGGGTTCGGGAAAGCCATGATGTCTAGGTCCAGCCTGGTTTAGTTGTTTTAGGGAAAAAATGCTTTCTGGGGTTTTCTTCTTTATAAACAACCTAACAAAGAAAAACCACCTGGCTGGGGTTCCATGAGCTACAGCCCAATATGCTGGGCAGGAGGGAGTGGTCAGCAAAGCAAATTTTGAGTAGTCTTTTGGTTTTCTTGGCTTGATTTGGTTCTAAATTTATTTCCTTTCCGGTTTTCCATTTTCCCATCTCAAGGTGGATGGAAGTGAGACTAATCTCCCTCTCTGGAGTCCTGGTGAGGAATTAGGGAAATAGTTAAAATTAGGTCAGGGGCCAAGCTGAGCAGAGGAAGCATCAGTAATACAGGCTTTCACTGCACAGTGGCTGCCTTCCCAGCCTGGCTGGAGACCCTGGAGGCCAGAGGTATCTGATGCCCAGCCTCAAGATGGACAGCTGGGCAGCTGAAGGGTCCAGGGATGAAACCGAGTGACCTTAATGTGGCCAGACATATCGAGGGCTGTATGTCAGGAATACACTGACCAGCTATTTTATCCAAGAGAAACCAACAATGTGTGTGGTGCCAATATGTGTTTCCTGGGCCCAGGTAGCCAGAGCACAGCATTTGACACATTACACAAAGGCCCAGCTACCCTGAAATGGACATCATAGGAGGTTCCTGACAGCAAGGAAAGGACCCTCTTTAGGACATGAAGTAAAAGACTTGGAGTGGAAACTGGACTTGCTCAGAAGAGCAGCATCTTGGGAACCTTGCCGGTATGTGCAAGGAAAAAAATTATAAATGAAAGGATTCTCTCTAAAATGTTAATGAGATGAACTAACTGGGAAAACAGACCATTTCAAATTTGTTTCTGGTCTCTAGTCAATT